AAGAATCCCCCCCATCACCATTGCATTTAATGCCATCCAGCAGAGCTCTTTTAAGTGGTTAAATGGCTGTTGCTTCCAAGTACCCTGGAGGGAGGGGAACTCTTGGTAGCCGGCTGTGACCAATTTGTTAGACATTTTGTAGATAAATTCACTCACATCTGCTCCTACTTACAGTTTGCACAGATCAAGAGGGGGAGTCTGAAACATCTGCTTGTCCAGTTTTCTACATGAGTTTACTGAGGATAGGAACAACATTCATGTACTGGGACTACTAAGGATATGGGGGAAATCATAGCGATCTGAAGTTCACCACGTACACACTTTACAATTAATGATCATAGTTTGTAAAAACAGCTTGGCATGTTGATTTTGCATTTAAAACCCTTTGTAAATGAATTGCTGCTTGCAAGTCTAAAGAATGCTGTTACTTGTTTTCTCTGCAAAAAAACCCTTCATTAAATCCATCTTTAAATCAGTTTTTAAAAATAGATCTTTTTTTAAAAAGTTTTTAAAAATAGATCTATATCTGCTTTTGCAGCAGAGTGATCGAAGCGGCAGTGGTGGAACAGTAACAGAAGTTCTTGTGTAATGTGCATTTTCTGAACTTTCATTGACCAGGATACAGCACTTTTTATCTAAGCACTTTTATGCTGGAAGCTGGAAATCCATCTGAAAGCATTCCTTTTCATTGAATTTTAACCGCCACCAGCACTTTGTAATGTATTATTTTTAACTGTTATGGTTTAATTTGTATTATGTATGTTTTTATCATGTATTTATGTTATTGGAAGCCGCCCTGAGCCTGCTTTGCGGGGAGGGTGGGGTATAAATTTGACAATAAATAAATACGGGGCAGCAGAGTGCAAAACTGAAATCTCGTTGTCTTTATTTGCCATCTTTGATTGGAGTTCCAAGGGGTTCTGGGATTCTTTTCATTCTCCTGGATGTCTCAGTGGCATTGGATACTGTAGATCATCAAATTCTTCTGGGCCACTTGAAACCATGGTGAACTGGGGACACTTTCAAAGTGAATCCATTCAATTCTTGATCATGCCAGAGGTAGCTTTGGGTACCTGCTGTTATATCCCAGGGGATGTGGCTTGCAGGCCTCTGCAGGGTTCCAACCTATTGCTGATACTTTTTAAAACCTGCATGCAATTGCCTGGAGAGATCATCTAACAATATGGAGTGTAGTTTTATCAATATGCTGATACCACTCAGCTGTGTATTACTTCTTTGCTTTTGGCCAAAAGAATAATTGGATTCCCTGAGTCAATGCTCTGTTATGGCTTATACAAAGGCAAAAATATTGATGTTTGATCCAGGCAGGCAGCAGTGATGGTGGCTGGTTAACCAAATTGTAAAGGAAGTGTTTTTGAAGTTCTCGATGGGATTACTCTAGTCTTGAAGTACAAGTTTCAGAGACTCAAAATACTCCATCTGGACAGTGTGCTACTGTAGGGTTTCAGGTGGCCACAGGGGTTAGAAGCGGCTTTTACCAACTTGGACTGTGGGGTTTGGTCCCAGACATACAAGGTTTAGGTTTAGGAAATTCTCAGCTGGATTATTACCCTGCTTTCTTTGTGGGAGCGTCTTTGAAGACTGGAGGCTGCAGTTACTGCAGGACGATGTGGCTTACTTCCTCAAAAGGATAGATAGTAGAGCTGATATTATTCCTATTGCTAAATAGTATTGGCTGCCTGTTCCAGGCGTAGTTTTATGTGCACAGCCTAGGGTTGCCAGGTTGAATCTTATCAGAGGGGACTTCCTGATAAGATGGCATCGCGTGGAAGTGACGTCATCACATCCAGGAAGCCCTGGATGCACACCCCTGAACTGCAAGCAGCAAATTTGTCACTCGCAGGTCAGGCACAGGCAGTCCCTGCTTGCAGACAGCCAATTAAAGGGAACCTTCCCTTTAAATGGTTTTTTGCAAGCAAGTGCCGTGTGCCTGAACTCCAAAGCAGCAAAGGGAACCCTTTAAATGTTTTTTGCAAGTGGGGGCTCCCTGCACATGAACTCCAAGTGGCAAATTTGCTGCTTTGGAGTTCAGGCACATAGCACCCACTTCCTGGGACCGGCAGCCACCCCTCTCCCTCCCCTCAAGCTGATTAGCGGACCACGTGCTCCTGCCAATCATCTGAAGGAGGGAAGGGAGAGGGGCATCCATCATCTACACTGTCGGGTGTGGCGTTTCCCTCCACTGGCCAGCTGACCGGTGGAGGTCAGGAGCCTGCAAAAGCAGGGGAACCCCCGCCCCAACCTGGGGAATGGGAACCCTAACAGTTCATATATGACCAGGGCGTTTTTAGCCCCTGACATGAGTAGGAATGTTATTCATGCCTGTTGTACAAATTTGTAAGCACCTATTTCAAGAGGTTTTGTTATTATTTCATTTGCAATTTTTAATACAAGTTGGTTCTGATATATGGTGGGTTTACTGTGGCAGTAAGCTGCATAATGGCTGTATTAGTTTTGGGTTTTATTCCCATTTTAGGTCCTATGCACTTTGGAATAAGCCCCATTGAAGCCAGTGGGATATATTTCTGCATAAATGCAGATAAGACTGAGCTATAACCCTGGTGTAATTTTCTTGCTTTAGAAAAGAAAGAGAAGGCAAATATTCAAAGGTTTTGTGGAAAATAAATATTTTTGAAGTTTTGTCCAGGGTACTCTTCCACCCTTAAATAATTTTTCTTCCTTTTAAAAACAAACAAACAAACCCCTTTGCCCTTAGTTAAGGGATGGAAAAATAGCTTTGGCAAAGAAACACATGAAGTGAGTTTCAAAAATATATTTATTTTCCACAGTACCTTTGGATATTGTTGTTGTTGTTGTTGTTGTCTTTTGTGACTTTGTTCAACATGTCCACAGGCAGACAGAGATTTGGTGTAGCACTCCTTTGGCAACAATGGTGAGAAAACATGGAAGCAACCCAGACATATGTTCAATACTAGAAATTCCAGCATTGATGGGGCTTGACATAGTTGGGGATAGTGCAAGGACAGGTCAAACTGGGGGGGGGGGAAGACATACCAACTTAGCAATGATTGGGAGCAACAATTTTTTACAAAGTTTTGAAATCAAAGTAACAGTGTATGATCTGCCAGATTCAATGACTGTCACTTTTCTCTCAGCGTTACCAATAAAATTGAACAATTTTACATTTGTCTTTGACTTGATCTGTATGCATTTTCTTGCTGCACATTTAAAGTCTGATGTTAGAATCTCTTATCTATAGTAACTCACATGTGGATTTATTCTTGCAGATACATGCCATCCCAGTATATGGCTCTTTAGATACAACAGGTAATGGCAATGTACTCTACCCACTGAGCTGCCATTTTCTGACTAGCCAGCTACTGAAATTCATTATGTGATTCAAGGCTGTAGCTGTGGTGGGGCCAGTAGGTACACCACCCCACCTGGAGCACTGGTTTGCCCTACCTACAAAGGTTTATTAACTTGACATGACAATTTCCATTTAAATAAGACTTTTAGAAGGTGACAGTTTCCAGCTAAAGAGAGATCATTGGTGCTGGTGTCCCTCAGAAGCAGCAGTGATCCAGTTTCACTCACCTGACATACCTAGGACTTCTTGCTCACTATCATCCTTACGATATTCCCTTTAGCTAACATGTCATTGAGCATGGCAGTGCACTTAAAAGTGGTAACTTGCAGAACTTATTTATTATCTATTTAACATCCCCTGAACTTTAAAATTGTTGTTCTTATTTAACTTGTGTAAGTAGCTCTATTTAGTTGACTGTGGGGTCCAAGTTTGTTTTTGTTTTTTAAAGATGAGTTTTTAAAGTTTTAAAAAAGAAGAAGCAACTAGAGCACACAAGCAAGAAGCCCCCAGTCTTGTATTGAGTCCTGAATACGTAGAGAGAGTCAATCAATCAATAGACCTTTAATGGCATATACAACATTAAAATCAGAGACAGTAAATGACACAATCAGCTAAAAGTCAAATTCTATTGAATGATACAACAGTAGAGATTACTGTGGCAGTGGCCAATTTTTTAGTTGATGTGATAAGAGTGGAAAACGTGGGAAACTCCGTTTTATGATTTTATAATTATCTCAGACTTTTAGTTGATTGTGTCATTTACTGTCTCTGATTTTAATGTTGTATATGCCATTAAAGGTCTATTGATTGATTGACGTAGAGAGAGTCTCTGTCTGTCTGTACCTTCCTATTCCCACTGATTCACATCCTGTCCTGTTTTGATGTGAGGACTGTAATGGAATAGAACTGAGCCTTCTCCATGGCTGCACATGGGCTACTTGAGCTCTAAATTTTTAGCCTTTTGATAAGAAGTGAAAACCTGGCTCTTACCAGAATTTTTTGCCAGCAAGTTAGGTGTTTTAACTGGCTTTTAATCTGATTATGATTTTTTAAATCTAGTGAGTGGTCTGTTTTTTATTATCTGTTTTATTGCTAATTGGGTTTTTTTTTAATTAATGATTGTGATTTAGATTTGCTCTGTAAAGCACTTGTGCATGTCTAAATAAAATTAGACCTTAGAGGGAATGTGGTTTTTCCTTTACTCAGTTGTAGGGAGTGAAGATATAGTACAATTCAACCATGCAAAATGAGAATATCTTCCTTTAATGGGATACTGGTCACCGGTCCTTTCCTCCTAAATTCTCCCTCTGAAAGTATTCCAAAGAGGATGTAAGCAAATCTACTTAGCAGTAAAGTTGTAGACAGAAGTGCTGCAGCTATGGAGGGCAGGCCTGATGTGCTACACCCAGCTGGGGTCTCTTCAGCTTCCCTGCACTCCTCTCTATGATTGTGCTACGAGTGTTCTTGAAGGCCATTCGAATGAGGTGAATTATGCCAATTTGGGAAATTTCTTAATTGTTTCACTTCTTACTTCCCAGATAGTCTGGTGACCAGACCTACATCTTTTTTTCCAGCTTTGATCCTGTGATCCCTTAATGTCATAACTCCTCTTACCTCCTTTTCTTTCTCCTCTGTTATGTGGTGATCCCTGGCAATCCTGCTCCTCCGTGAGAGGGTCCTGCGGTATTGTGCCCCTAAATGCTCCATGAGTCCCGCGGTAGGTGGCCCCTTGGGTTTTTGTCTCTCTGCACTTGCAATGGCATCTTGCCATACTTGTATTTTTTCCAGTCTAAATATACTCAAGTCCTTCAGCCCTTTTATGACTTGCCTTATAAATCCTTCGTCATCCTTGTAGCTCTCCTCTAGATCCTTTCCAATTTATCAGCATTGTTCTCGAAGCTATGAGCATAATATAATATTGATCAGTGCTGAGTGTAGAATTTGTGTCTTAGAAAACATACTCCTTTTGATATAATATAAAAACAACATTTAACATTTTGTGCCAGAGCTTGATGTGATGATGTGTGTTTTCCTAATTCCCTCCATAAAACATTTGTGTATTTTTTTTATTTTTACCGATTAGATGCCCTTCCAAATGCTTCAAGGCAGCTTACATAGTATCAATACTTAAAAATATAAAAAAAATTAAAACAGAACAAACTAAAAAAACTTGCCAGAAAGACAGCTCATGTAACTTTAAATCCCTCTCCTCAGTGGTAAAAACTAGCCACATCCTCTGCCCTATTATTAATTCTCTTTGTGTTTATTCCTATGTGTAACATCTTAAATTTTCCTTGCTGAATTTCATTTCATTGCTACCAGCCATGGCCAACCAATCTGTAAACATTTTGGATTTTTGGTCAGTTTACTGTCTCTCACATAAGCTTTTGTGATCACCATACTGCGATTTGAAACCTTTCCTACCTGTTTCTCATGATACTGATTAATAAACATTTGGCTGCTTCTTTTTTACTTTGGCCTCTCCAGCATGAACCTGAAGGGCTGCATCCATTATAGCATCCTGGAGGAAGAAGAGATGGTGCTTGTTGCTTCTTTGGAGCACTGGAAATGTGTGTGGCTAGAACACCACTCTGCTTATACTGCTTAAGTGTCCATTTCCTACTCTAAATTCTACTCCAAGAATAAATGTAGCTGGCACTGGGAATGAATTAATATTTGGGATTCTTAGGAACGTGTTTTAATTTGGTGGCATCAAGCCCGAGTGAGAATGTGATCACATTGGGCTAGATGCTGCACAAATAATAGGAGAGACTTGCCTGGGGCATGTGTTTTTATAATACTTTATTACGCAGCAAATGTGGCAATTCTATTCCAGATCTATCAGCACACAAAGCAACCATAAACACAGTTTAAATGGCCAATTTCACAGGGTTTATGACTGCATTGTATTGTCGCTATGACACCAATCAGCCAAGGTGTAATCTGGCCCTTAGAAGGCAGTTTAGTCACTGTGTAATGCATTGCAATTATCAGGGTCCCAGGCTTAGTTCCAGGTGAGCAGTAAAACACTGTCAAGGGAAAATCTATCCATTTGGCTCTGCAGTGGAATTAAAGGAAGGGCAAAAGATGTGGCCTCATGAATTAATGTTTGTAACACAGTTCACTGTGCAGATTTGGTTGAATCAAGGCCAGCATTCTTCAGTGGTCAAGCATTCTTGTGCCATTTGATCTCATTTTGTTTACTCCCTTACTGACATGGTACTAACTTTAGCATGTTTTCCTTATGTACATACTGTATACTCCCTAAATTGTGTGCTTGAACTTTCTGCGTTTCTCTCAAAAAATTATGCTTAATTTTTGCAGTTGTGTGGGCAATAAATTCAATAAATGTGATTTAGTGTGCTAGGAATGCAGACTCAGGGAACCTTGTGATGGAATTACGAAATACTTGCTTGAGGTTTTACTAAAATTTGTTAGTTCTTTCCTCACAGTTATCCAGGAAAAGTGCAGGGCAATGATCAGTTAGCTCAAAAAATTAGCAAAGTATCAGTGGTAAAAAGGTTTAATGGTGCAAACTGAGCATTAAAAGAAAGATATTGATAATGTAGGAGGCAAGGTCTTCTCTCTCTCTTTTTTTTTTTGCTTTGCTTTTGTGACTCTAAAGTGCTGTGAACAATAGGGCACTATATATAGATTATTATAATAATGATGATGCCTACACTGAGAGAAGTAGTGGGGGGGGACGACCCAGCTATTTTTAAAGACAAATTGGGGAAAGCATTGGCATGAGAAATATTCTAGCATATTTAAGACTTGAATCTTGCATTTCTTATTTACTTAGCTAAATTCTTCTGTTTGAACTGCTAAAACAAAATGTAGCCTTTAGAAATACATTCAGTACAAACCTAAGAACATAAAAGAGTCATGCTCGTTAGACCAGTGGTCCACTCAGTGGATGATGAGGTCCTAGACAAAGGCAAAGAGGCAAAGAGGACAAACCTTCTCCCTACTGCTGTTCCCCAATAACAGGCATTCATCCATTTACTTCTTTTGTGGTACATCTTCTCACTAGAGAAGCATTCTTATGTTCCCTTGCACTTAACACCTATTAGTTCATACGTTAATGGCAATGTGATATGAAGCTACGGACTCTGGGTTGTTTCCAGTTCCATAATGATTAACCACGATTGTGTCATTATCTTCAATCTGTTTTAACATATTTCGATGTTTTAATATATACATATCCTGTAAGCCACCCTGAGCCTTCCTCGGCGGGGAGAGCAGGATAGAAATTAAAAAAATAAAATACATAACACTGCCAGTGAAGTAATCATTTGCTTGCTGCCAGAACTATTTTGTTTATAACGTTTTCTTCAACTTTAGATCAAAATTGTTTTCTGGCATGAAGTTGCCTCGGCGGGGAGGGCAGGATAGAAATTAAAAAAATAAAATAAATAACACTGCCAGTTAAGTAATCATTTGCTTGCTGCCTGAACTATTTTGGTTATAACGTTTTCTTCAACTTCTAGATCAAAATTGTTTTCTGGCATGAAGTGTGTTGATAAAATTTTTGATTCTTAGAAAACAAACGATACTTTGGAAAGTGCAAAGCAGTGAGGGATTTTTTTTTAGAATTTCTGCAGATAGGAAAAAAAATGTGTGATATGGCTGAGAGGCTGTGCTGAACAGTCCTAAGGAAATCCATAACGTTGTTTGATGCAATCATTTTCATATTGAATACAATCACATAGCATCAAAAGTACTCTAAAGTATAAAAGTTTCTAAGAGCCTAATAAGACCAGACTCTTCTAACATATAATAAAGGATTGTTTACGTGTTACTCTGTTGTTTAATTTTATTTATTTATTCATTTATACCCCACCTTTCTTCTCAGTGGGAATCCAAAGCAGCTTACATTGTTCTTCTATCCTCTGTTTTATTCCCACAACAACCCTGTGAGGTAGTTTAGGCTGATAGAGTGTGACTGGTCTAACCTGAATCTGGTCTCGTAGTCTAACATTCCAACTGCTACACTACACTGGCTCGCAAGTGTAGCTGAAAGGCACATAATTCATTGAAGGAGTTCACTTAGGCCAAAGTTCCCTATAATCCAGAATTCTGTTTCTAACAGTGGGCAAACAGTGCGCAAACAGCAGGGCTACCAAGCAAGGTCCTCCTACCTTATTTTTCCCAAGCACTTAGCAATCAGAAATGTGCTTCCTCTAGGGATTAAAAGTTTATAAACCTCTAATGATGTGTCATAGTATTACTAGCCTTGGTAAATCTTCTTATAAGAGGCAGCTGATAGTTCTTCTTATAAGAGGCAGCCTGGGGAAATTATGATGAATTAATTAAAATATTTATACCCCACCTGTCCTCTTGGCTTAAGGAGGTTTACAAGTAATCAAACATTGTAGATTACAATAAAATGAAAAAAATCTACCCACCCCCAGAAGTTCCCTACCATTCATATTCCAACAAAATTGCTGGCAAATGAGAAAGGCTTGTAGCAGCTTGTGATGTTCTCCAGGAGAAGGACTCTCCTTGCCTCTTCAGGGAGTGTTTTTCACAGAATGGGAAGAGTGTAAACAAGCATGAGGATCCCCCAGCCTCATTCATGTAATGACAAATCATGGTTTGTCATGTATAAACCAGGATTTTTTTTGCTAATGTAGTGGTTAAGACTGCAGACTCTAATTTGGGAGAACAGGGTTTAATTCCCCAGTCCTCCACATGCAGCTGCTGGTGTGACCTTGGGTCAGTCATAAAGTTATTTCAGAGCTGTCCTGTCAAGGAAAGTTCTTGGGAGAGCTCTCTCAGCCCCACCTACCTCACAGGGTGTTTGTTTTGGGGAGGGGAAGGGAAAGGAGATTGTAAGTCACTCTGAGACTCCTTCGGGTAGTGAAGGGTGGGGAATAAATCCAATCTCCTTCTCATTTGGACCAACTGTCTTGAAAAAAAATCTCTCAATTGAACTCCTATCTCACATTATTTACATTTAGAAGGAAAGTATTATTGCAAAGAGGGCAATTGAGTAATCTGTGAAAAATGGGGAAATTGCAGTGTTTTGCACATTAAACACTTTATAAACCAGCTCTGGTTTTTCTTAACTTTTATGTGAAATACTACTTGGCATGCAATTATGGCATAATGTTGAGTCCCTCTTTTAGGCATTATACCAACAAACATGAAGAGGTAGTTAAATTTAAGTACTTCTATTGTGAAAGCACTAGTAGCTGCTTTTCATAAAGATTTTTATGGGCATTCCATCTCATATTACATATAATAAGGACATTATGGCTTGCACACAATGCAGTTGATTTGATTGGCATCTGTCCCACCAACAGCTTTGTGCTGCTCTTCTGAAATATTGTCTGATATTTTATTCCTTGTGGTATATTTTCAGTTCATAAAAATGATACTAGTGGTTAAACGGTGTAGTAGATATAAATTCCTGTGAAGTATCCATGTTTTCCTGTTGCAGCTTCAACAAAATGGAATTTTGTGTCACCTTAAAGACTAGTTAGTAGATGTATTGAAGCCATGCTGTGGGGGAAAAAATCCAGCCGTTTAAACAAAAATGGCAGAGCAAAATCAGTATTGTAGGTTCTTCTCCCTTCTACATATAGGTCCCTGGCCCTAGGGACGCTAAGTTAACATCGACAAGAACCAGGGTGTTTTCCCTAGCAGCACCAGTACTATGGAATCAGCTCCCAAACAAAATTCAAGCTCTGGGGGATCTTTACCAATTCCGTA